CTTGTGCTCTTATTGGCTCAACAATTTAATTATAAATTTATGCAGTTAATTATGAATTTGTTGGAGTGATTGTTTCAGATTTCACTGCTTTGTTTTCTATTATACTTAAACCCATAACAATATGTTAAATACTTAACTTCACAAGCTGGCAACGGATGAATTCCTGAACCACAGTTTACAATCGGTACATAAAAGTACACGAAGACTTGATTTCTTGATGCTGCTATAAAAAATGAAAAACATCAGTCTGTTGCTGATGTTTGTCCTACTTCTGCGCGTTGGAAGTGCATCTTCCCTTAAATTACTAAAATTGCAAACGTCTGCTAATCAGTCAATTTCCAGTCTAAGAAGTCCCTGCATCATCAAAAATGCCAGAAAGTGAGCTTGCAGTAGATGCAAGGAGGCTTAATTGAAAATAAAGTGCTCATAATAGCAGCGTAGTCCTCCTCCTTTCTGCCCCCTTCCCCTCCCTCTCTTTTGTTTACCACCACCTTCCTTTTACATGTAATTGGGAGCACATTTTACATCAGGTCAGTCAGTTTGAGCGTTTGTTGCCTCCAATGTTTGTGCCTGGTTCCTGCTTCCACTTCTCCCGCTGGATGGACCTTTAATGAATTCACCTTCAGATTACCAGATCACACATATAACTGAAAGGACACTTATAAGCACTGGTCAGCGAGAAGTAAGTAACTTATTCGCATGATGACTTTAACTATGAGAAATAACATGAATTGTTATGAATTTTTGATTCCTGCGTAACTTCTCAGAGGAGTATATTTTGGGAGTGCTTTTTCCGTCACTCCCTAAAGTTAAAAAAAAGCTTTTCCAGGTATGATTTATGCAGGAGGTACATTTTAGGGGAGCAACTCCTGATTTTCGCAGAACTCTGTTTACCACTGAATTCTGCATCTGCATTTCTTTCCCCTTTCCTGTAAACCCACTTCTTACTCCGTGCTGTCATGATTTATGCAGTTGGAGTAATAAGACACCTGTTTCACTGCAGTTGGACTGTGTTCAGATTTTGAAAGAACGAGACAGCAACTCTCACGCAGATTGAATTGAGGAGCTAAACGCATTTAACAGTTTATTTGGCGAGTGCGCGTAATAAATCCAGTGCTGTTGCTCAGCACGTACAGATCGAGTACAAAGTATCTGCAGGAAAAGATGGAGACAGACTTGTCAAGCTTATCTCACTTAGCATAAACTCCTTAGACAAATGCATCTGAATACATAACATAATGCACTTGTCTAAGGAATTGCTATCATGCTGTAATATATACTCACATCCTTTTGTCGCTTAAACTGATAACCCAGCTGGACTAAGGTGTTACTTAGTGTGCTTTTAGTAATCACTGATTAACATTGATTCATATATTACACCGAACTTTATTATCAGTAACGTGTACATCGTACAAAACTAGCAAAAAGGTGGTGCACAGTGTAAAATGTAAATGAATCCAGGAACTTTTCTTTTAAAAATTGCACATTAAAGATACTCTAAAATGTTGCCTTGCAATTTATTTTGTTTAATATTTTCTGAATAGTGTTTGTTTAAGTTACAGTTCATCCTCTGGGTTGGTTTGCTCGTTAGGCATAGGTATTATTATAGATGTAATAACATGTAATAACAATTTTTTACCAAATAAACAAAAACTAATGATACATTCTTTTACATTTTTATTTTATTTCAGTTTTCCAAGTATTTGAAAATCATTTGAATTTAAAAGTTTTCAAAAGTCTGGTTTTTATTGTTATATCTGTGAGCTAAGATATTTTTTTTACATCTAGTTGTAGTTTTTAGTTTAGTTTTAGGCAACTGTAATATCATTGGAATTAGGTTTTTCTGCATCTACTGCACTGTTTAAGAGCCATAATTGCGTGCATTTGCATACATGGCAGGAGTAACCTGCACATCTGTGAAGGCACCAGATTCTCTGTGTGTTTGGCAAAAATCTAAAGCCATTCCCATTAAGTTGCGGTAAAGTGACAGACCTGAATGAACCGATTATCCTTTGACGTTTAAAAGTTTCACATTTTCACACGTAGTGCTATAATGACCTTATAAATTCAGAATAACATGCCACCATGTTGATACTCATAATTCTGACTGGGGTTTTTGGTTCTAACACCGAGAAATCCTGGATGTGTCAAATGTTTTTTGCAGTGCATCCCTCAGTTGTTTGCTGTGAATCACACAGTGTAAATAAGCGAGTAAATAAAGCAATTTAAATAAGACAAACACCAGTCACAGAGTTCTTTGAAGAAGTATTAATAAAATCAGCCCACACCAAAAGGAGAAATGGACAGGCATTTCACTCAGCTGTTCTTTTATTGATTTAAACAAACTAACTAAAAGCAGGTTCGCTAAAGAATAGTTGGCATGAAACAGCAGTACACACAATCGCCACTGACCACCACGGCAGTTGGCTTAGGTGGTCAGTCCCAATATTCTCAATCCCAAAATGTTTTTTCGCCACCACCACCCCACCCTCAGCTCTTCAAATCTTTTTCCCTAATTCAGCTTTAGCGCACAGCAGCACAGTGATCTGTTGTCTGGTTGGATCTTCAGCATCGTTCAACTGTCCTGAAGTTTGGCTTTTTGCACCTGTAGCTGTCGGGGACTTCAGCAGACTATCAGCATGGCTACCGTGGTGAATTGGCAATTTTTGCCAGGGCAGTATCTCAACCTGTGTAGGATCAGCTGAATTATTATTTCAAAGGAACCCTCAGCCTAACCCTGGAAAATGGAGGTGGAAAGATCGCAGTGAATCTGTCCCTAAATTTCTTATGATAACGTACTTTAGACTTCTGGTTAAAATGAATTAGAAGTGTAGGATTATAGATGTGTTGGATTAATTGTTGAGTGGTAATCTTAACTGCCCAACCGGTGAAAACAATCTTCATGTCCTCCTGTGTGGAAAAACAGCAAAACCGTTCATCAGATTTAGTGTTAGATGATTAAATAAGGTTCTGGTCACTTTGACACTTTTATCCAGATGAGAGCGATCGTTTCCAGGATGGCAGTGCCTCCAAGCGTTAGGTAAGAGTGGTCACTGAGTTATTTACAGAGCATGAAATGGTCTGTTAACAAATCTCAACCTACTTTAACACTTATGGGACATTTTTTAAAAATAATTAACATCCAGTTAAACAGTTCTCCCCACCGACTTCATTAAGACGCCAAAAAAAGGAATATCTTTTGAATGAACGGTGATAAATTTCTCCAGCACAATTTCAAATAATCCTTCTCAAAACACACTGAAGCTGTTCTGATAGCTCAGCGCTTCATTAAGACACTTTATGCTGTCATGTAATTTTCTGGACATTTTCCACATTTCAAAGCGGTGTCAACATCAAAACTATTAGTTGAAATATAGTTTTTTAAAAATACATAAAACTGCTTAGACTGCATAAAGATCACGTTAAAACAAAAATGTTTAAGGTATTTGATTCTTCAAATACCTGTTCACTCTTTTTACAACAGATTGTTACTTCACGTGGTTTCCCACACACCCTGAGCACAAGTTGGCTGCTTTTCCTGCAATCTGTGGCCCAACCCATCCCTAACCATGTCATTTGGGATTGCCAGCTCTCCAGCACTCTGCTTCTTGGTAAAATAGCTCTTCCAGAAACTCAAGTTGTGCACTGTCGAAGAATAATGTTCCCACAAAGCAATTTTTTTCTACAAACTTTGTGGGATGTTACATTCAGGAAATTGCTTTCAATGGCCTTGAGTTCTGAATAAATCAAGTGTCTTTAGCAAAGCGTCATGGGAGCCCATTTTGATCTTAAGTGGGCCTGAACATTGAAACTTTCTTTTCTTTCAGTGTAATCAAGTTTAACTACGCATTTAATCCTTCAGATATCTTAATGTAAGACAAATAAGTGCAATGGTATGTCTCAGTTTTTCCACATAAAGAAATTCTGCTTGACTCAATGAAAGAAATCTGTCATCATGACTCTCTGAGCTTAAATTGTAAGCAATACATCTGTAGTTCTGGTTGGTATAGTGTGGTAATGCCCAGGGGAGTGGTCTTTATCAGTATCAGTATCAGTAGCAATGGCTGTAAAACCTGTAAAAATACAGTAAAACGTCCAAAATAAATGCCCTCCTTAATGTTTTCCTAAGAATGGGCCAGTGGCCCAGACTGGAGTCTTTCCGGGTCGATTCTGATGAACGCACAAGACTTAATTGACATTAAGTGACATGTTGAAGTGAGCAAAAATGTGCTTGTTTAGCATGCAGTTAATACACATGTGGACCTTACAAAAAACTCCAGCTAATGGAAAACTGTTCCAGGGTAAGGCACTGTGAAGATTTATTTATTGTTTTTGTGTTTCCATGGGTGCTTTTTGTGTCTTGATATCTTCAGTATTGTTCTGTAAAAAAATTACAAAAACATAAAGGAAATAAAGTCGAATGAGTAGATCTCTCCAAGCCTTTGATGAGTACTCTCTAAATCTGGGAAGATGGCAAAGTGAAAAGCTGAAACAGAGGCAAACAAAACTTTCTGCAGATGTATTCAAATTTAAACTGAACCTATTATGCTTTGCTGGAACTTTCTGTCATTAATAATAATAATAATAATAATAATAATAATATTTCAGAGACAGAAGCTCATAATGAACATGCTCAGTTTTTCAAACTACAAGGTGCAAGTAAGCACTCCAACATTTTTTTTCCCATCTCTATGCATATGATGTCAGTGAGAATGGTTATCATCCCTAATATAGTCATCTTAGCCACACCTATCTGCCACTTAAGCCTTCTGTTTCCAAGGGGCAGCCAATCAGAAGAAAGTTAGCCACTGTCCAAACTGGCAAGCTGAGGAGCTACACCAAGGCCCGGTATTAGTAAATCATCCAAAGCTACTCTTTCAGATACCAAGAATAAAAGTATAGAGCTGGAAATGAGTGTAATAAATCACCCATAACACCCATCTTCCTGATTTGGGGCGATGTATAATATAACTCCAGGACTCGTAAATCTGCAACAGCAATGTGTTGAGCTGAATGTTACTCTGGATGTCTGAAAGTTCACTTAGTTTTCTTAGAAAGAAACCGTATCCCCAACCCTGTAAACACACACACAGAGGGAACAGCAGCAATTCTTGCTTGTGAGGAAGACAGGTTATTGAGGGTTGGGTGAAGGGTGGCTGAGCTGGCTTCCCGCTGCAGAGTTTGCAGAGTAACACCAATCAGATGGCAATAAATCTTAAACATTGATCCCACAGAGATACAGAGGTAGCTTTGCAAAACGTGGGATTTCAGCAGAGGTTCTTCTGTAACATGCTCATGCACAGGAGAAACGTTAAAATGACAAAATAAAGCAAACGATCCAAACTGCATCATGTGCATGCGGCACGTCTGAAATCTTTAAAAAAGACACTGAACAAGCTGAGTCTAGCTTCACCACCATCTCCGCCTTCTCTCTCTCTCTCTCTCTCTCCCTGTCTCACTTCAGTTCACTCCCTCACTATCTATATAAAGTCAGTTTGACTGAGTATCTTCTGCTGCGTGTGCACTCAGCACCAGCCATCATTCTCACACACACTCACTCTCACACACACAAACTCCCAGTATGCAGCTGCTCGAACTCCTGAAACGCTTTGCATGAGGTGGCCGTTTCTCTGGAATCTTATGATCCTACATATTGAGGTAAGCACACAGGGGCCGGTCAGTACCATGAATCTTATGGACCCAGAGGGACTCTAAGTGGTAATAAAATGGTATCACTGTGGATGGATAAAGCTTAGCTGCTGCAGAAGCACTGCTGGGACTTAATGTACAGGATAGAACAACTTCCTTCTGTCAGCTGGTCCATAATCAGTCTGTGCTGTAGTCTTATATATGTTTACGTTGAATAACTGCTTTGCTGTGATCAGTGTTTAGATGTTCTTTGGAGTAGTGTAGATAAGTATGTTCTTTAAAGAACTACAGTTACACGGTTACTCACATGCGCCTTTGGATATTTGTTCTATTTTACTGACTGTTTTACAAATCTATGAGATTGTATATACAAACCAAATATTTAAGGTAATTTTATGCTGTTAAAGGATGTGCTTCATAAATACTCCTGATTGGAATGCATTTAATTCAGTAAATGGACTGCCCCCTTGTGTAGTCCTAGCAGCTGTAAAAGTCTTCGGAGCCCAAGTGCTTTTTGCAGTCATAGTGTGACAATTTATTGCTCTAATTTTGGATCCAATCCAGCGGACCTGCTGACTACAGCACCACAGTCAACGAACTTCAGAGGATGAGAGCTTCTTTTGTTTTCCTTTTCTGGCTTACAGACCAGTAATGCAAAATGAATAGCAAGTGGCAGACTTATCAAATCCCAGTGAAAATACTACCTTCTTAAATAATTTCCTAAACTTCCCAGAAAGTGTCTGACATATCTGTTGGTTTTTTAGTTCCACCGCTGTTCCACACCAGCACTGTAACTTTTGATCAACATCACCTAAAGGGAATAAACCAAATCATAATTCTCTAACTTTCCATCCAGTGCTGGAAACCCCCCCTTTTTTGGGGGTCATCACTAACTAAAGGCTTCTGTTATACATATGTGTACAGATGATGTATGAAACAACAACAACTGCACTGCCACACCTCAGGGCTTTGTTTCTTTGTCATTGATCCTTGGCGCTGACAGCTATTTTTTTTTAAAGGAAGTGAGCCCTTTGCTCCTCTTTACTCATTTGAAACTAACTGCTGAATTACACATAAAAATCTGTCTGTGGTCCCGTGTAGTGTCCCCTCCTTCAGAGTGTGAGGGGGACGGGCTCCCCAGTGGTTACGGCTCTAGGGACTCCATCCTCAGAGCCAGCACAGAGAGGGACTGGAAAAGACGAAAACGGGGGCAACTAGGGCGGCTTAACAGGTGAGCACCACTGTTATGATCGCATCTGTTTTAGCTATTCATGACATGGATCGCTTATCTTTTATAGATACTCATGCAACATCTGTTCAGTTAAAGGCAGGTCACAGAGCAGGCTTTATGTGCTGGATGTTGCATTCAATGTGTGTCAGCAGAGTGGTGATGACTGAGTCCATTTAATGCCTGCTGTGGACCTAATAGTCTGGCTGCTGCAGGCGTGTGGGCAGCCTGGGCTGCTGTCAGGCTCCGTAGTCAGTGTGTAACCAGTCTACTTGTGTGGTTGCTGATATTTCAGCTGCAGCAACTCCAGCGCTGAGGCTGGCAGAGAGAAGCAGCAGCCAACGTTTGGACTGAGTGGAGGTGCAGCCATGCGCTGCTCCACCCTGCTCGCCATCTTGACGGGGGTTCTTCTTTACTTGGTGCTGGGAGCTGTGGTGTTCCGTGCCCTGGAGGCTCCGCAGGAGGAGGGCGTGCACATGAAGCTGCAGGACACACGCCGGGACTTCCTGCTGAACTTCTCCTGTGTCGACTCAGACAAGCTGGAGGTTCTTATAGAGGTACAGAGAGGAGCCATTCACTATCTGGCTTTTATTTCGAAAATGTAAAAATTGTTTCTGTTTCTCTTTTACAATCTCCATCAGGTACAGCGTCATATTGATTGCTATGATACAATACTAAACAATAAGACACGAAACGATACGATACGATACTACATGACACAATATTACCTGATATGATACTGCAACTAACTAAATCGAACAGCATACAGCAAACTTTGAGTTACTGAAACTACACATTTTGCATTCAAAAAGTGACTCTAGCTTTGCCCAGCTGCTGCTTTCTGTTAATCATATATTAACAAACTCCAAACAAGTGTCACGATGACCTCTGATGCCGACTGCCTCTCTAGCTAAAAATACACTTTTGCTGAGTGCGTGACACATACCTGCTTCATGTTTTATACGCACTGGCTGAGTTTGTGGATCCTTAGGATGATCGTTCAGATGTGTAACGTGTTCAGTGGAGCTTTGCTGGTGACACAGTGCAGCGGCACAGCACGACGACTATGAGCCAGATAACAGGTGTGGTCAGAGCAGCTATGCAAGGTTCCTTTCATGAGTGTAACTGCGTGACAGCTGATCCACAGATGGGTCGAGCGTTGGCAACCTAGCTGTGATCCTGAGACGCTTGTCCTCACTCTAGAATGAACATTGTAAATTACTGTTTACGCTTGCAAAGCGATCTACGCATGAACTCGGCGACATTTGGGAAAAGGTTAAAGGGATCAAAGGACACTGAAGCACGCAAGCAGGTTTTGTTGTATTTTGTGTTTATTTAGAGGAAGCACATGAGCGATTAGGTGTCTTTTTTTTTTAATATCCAAATGAATAGGTGAGCACAGTAAGAAGTCCAAGCTGAAACACTTTCTTGTTTCTCTACTTGTAAAAAGAGCATTTGACAATTTGCTTGATTAAAATCATGTAGATACTAATATATTGTGCTTTTAAAAAAATGCACTCATAATATGCAGCCAGTGATGTGATGATAGCTCCTGTTTGGTTCCATCAGAAAAAGAAAGAAAGATTGGGATGGTTTGGGTGAACTTTGCACCTCAGTGCACTTATAGAAGTGGGGACACAATGCACTTAATGTCGGCTTACACGAAAACTGCTATTGAGCCACTGTGGATCATGTGTCACCGAACTGATGTTACATTCAGATGTTTCATCTTCTAGTTGCAGTTTCCTCCTCAAGCATCTGTCACATAGCACACCATACTTTATCAAAGATCATGCTATATTTTCTACCAGCAGATATTGATGTGGTTGATCATGTGACATTTATTTTATTGAAGAATTTATTAAACAAAAGTATCATTGCCTTGATGTAGGCATGTTGTGTAATTGTCTAATGTTATTTTTGGACACTGAAAGAATTTTCCGGAGGTCTTCAATTCAGGCAAAATTTGTGCAGCTACTTTCTGATTCGTCACTGTAAATGTTTATCTGAAAACCTTAGGGAGCTCTTCAGATCTTGGCAAGATGACACCACCGTACCAGATAGAGCAGCAGACTCGAGATGTCAGATTTAAATAAGAGCTTCAGCTGTCCCTCCGTATAGACGTTCTTATCACTGCCAACCCCAGATTCTAAATTTATGGATTTGAAAGGCTAATAAATAATGAGGTGTGCTTGGTGAACTTTCTCCACGTGACTTTTTTTCACATGGTCTGGCTATCAGTGCAGGGTCTCCTTTTGTATATCAGTATAAGCTGAGCTTAGATAAGCGAAATTACAACTTTTACGGCTGCCAGTTTGTACGCTGAAATTAAATAAATATAAGAATATAGATAAATATTAAATCTTTCAAGCAATTCATGAAGTCAGTGTGACAACATCCCCTGGCTCAATTTCCTTCTTTATAAAGTTTTGCTGGCTATTATTGACAAATGATTGTCAATAATAAGCAGATTAATTAATACTTCTATATCACATACATTTGATAGCATGTAAAGTATGAACACCATTGTGTTTTCATAGTTGCCGTTTGCATGTATGTTGTGTATTTCACTACATCTGTGAGGGAATTGTGTCATGAAAACCTGAACCTCTCACTTATGGTTAGCATTCCCAGGACGTTTCTTGAACACAGTTACTAAGGATTATATTTCTGGCTCCAAATCATCCCTTTCTGCGGTGCACAGAGTACACAGGCTGAGACTGAGGTGCGCATGACTAACCTCATAATTTGCCTCTCGCTTTTAATGTAACTTGAGGAGTAAAAGTAACCTAATTATCGTATGCTAAACCCTCTGGACACAAAACCTCACTGCAGTGTCTTCCTGTATCCACTAGAATGCAGGTAAATTCATGCAAAGTCAGAGCTCACTGATACCCGAACAGTTACAGCACATATCTTGTAATTACAGTGTCACTGATTTGATTCCTACTTCAAACCTACTCTTTTAGTCAGTTGTCACTGCACAAATAGAATTTGAAAGGGTGAGAAGTTCAGTCAGTTTCTGCTAATCTGTTGGGACAGACGTACTTGGCAGTAGACATTTCTACAATCTTCAATCTAAACTTTTAATTGATTGGTTTTAATGATTTCTGCAGAGGCCAAGTTAATTCATAACCTCATCATGCTTAGGTTTATGTTCCGATAATTTAATCAGGGAATTTGATTCTGTGCTGTAAGCGGTTCGATATGCCCGGGACAGAATGGAGCCGTCACAGCTGCTCATCGCTGCTAACTTCCTGCTTTTGATCATGACAGTGCATTTTGTACCCCGTAGCAGGGATGGGTTCATTCATTCGTGTGTTTGTTAATGCCTCTTTTCCAGTGAAACATTAATTATTGGAGTGTTTCATCAACTAAGTACTAACCTTCCCCCCACTGTCCCTTCCCAGGAGGTGGTGGAGGCCACTGGAGCAGGTGTGGATCCCATAGGCAACGCTACATTTGTCAGCAAATGGGATCTGGCCAGTGCCTTTTTTTTCTCAGGAACCATTATCACAACAATCGGTTGGTGTCCAGCTAAAAGTCCTTGTTCATTAAATTTAATTGCATGATGGGACTCATTAATTACATCTGAAGTCTTTAAACAACTGCTCTTCTACCTCTGATCCCACATGTGCAGGTTTTGGAAACATTTCTCCCAAAACAGAAGGAGGGCAGCTGTTCTGCATCTTCTATGCCCTGGTGGGAATCCCAATGTTTGGTATCCTGCTCGCTGGAGTGGGAGACCATCTGGGTACTGGGCTGAGGAAAACTGTGGCCAAGATAGAGAAGCTCTTCCTGGTCAGAGCTTCAAAAAATATTTAAAATGTCTTCTTTACTGCCACTGTAAACATACTTATCCATAGATTTTATAAATAATAGATGGATCTAACATTTGGGTCTGAAGAGTGAAGCCAATGCCTTACATCATCTAAAGCCTACACCTGTATTTGAAAAGAAGAAATTGGTCTCAATTGCATAGAAGCGTTTGGTTCCCTTCATCCAAAACATTTATGGCCTCAGTTGATGGTATCAAGTCTTCTCAGACATAACAAGATTTTTATTTTGTATATTTGGGGTCCAATCAGTGTCAGAAATGTGATAAAATAGGATAAGATTCAGAGTCGGCATAGCTTGGCAGGCTGGTTTCTCAGTCAGACCCAAACCTCGTTCATGACGTCTGGTTTCAAAACGCTAAAGAGGAGATGGCGAAAAGACTGAACTCAAGGCTTAAAAAATGACTTCACAAAGAAATGAGTGACATCACGTCACCACGTCCATCTTTTATATACAGGCTATATATTCATGGAACTAATTGGTTATCCTTTTCTGACAGAAATGGCGAGTTAGTCCCACCATCGTGCGTGTGATCTCAGCTGTCCTGTCCATCCTATTGGGTTGCGTGCTCTTTGTTGCGCTGCCAATCTTCATTTTTCAAGAGGTGGAGGAGTGGACCCTGCTGGAATCAGCCTACTTCGTGGTTATCACCTTGACCACAGTGGGGTTTGGAGACTATGTTGCAGGTATATAATCAACCACCCACGCTGGTTTGCAGTGGTGCACACAGAATAGGAAAGTGGAAATGGAAAAAGGCCATCTGTCTCAGTATTATTTTAGTTCAAGCGGTGGCCCTTTATCATTCTAGCCAGTTACAAGAAATGGCTTTGGTCTCTGTTGATAGTTCCATTCTTTATAAGAGCTTGAAGGGAGGTGATCCCCACCACCCCCTCACCCCCACCCAATTCATGTGTTTTGATACTGTCAAAGTTTTTAAATGGCTCCTTCTGCTTGTTCTGACATATTTGATTATTATAAAACTTTATTACTGATAAGCTGACATTTGAAACTTTGATGCTTTTATAGGCGGACTTTATTTCAGTACCGGATAATCAGCTGTGCTATTTATTCGAGAGCAGTTCGTCGTGTAAATTGCGCAATAATATGTAACTAAGGCTTTCGACAGCTGGAGGAACAAAACACCAAAAAATACAGCATGAGAGAGGCGGCAGTAGGGATAGGCTCCAGCCCCCTCCATGACCCTAAACTAGATAAGTGGGTGGGTGGATCTGGTGTCAGGTTTTTCTTCAGACAGTCAGTGCTCACCCTTACTTTATGCAGAGAGGACAGGTTTATTTCACCCCTGAGGTCACATCAGACCACCAGTATCTCCCCAATAATTAGTCTGCAGGATTTTTTTGTGCTTGTTTTTGTTTTTATTTTTATTAAGATGAGATCCTTTCCACTCTCCACACCCTGTGCACCACCACGGATGCCCATAGCCTGCCACTAGTGTACATCCTGCTTTATTAGGCTCTATAAAAGTAATGCAGCTGAAACACAATCATAGCTTCCAGATCAGTATAGCTTATATCATTTACTTTTTCATACTTTTCTTTTTCGTTGAAGGTATTGATCTGTTGATAAGTAGGAGCTATGACTTAATTAGTCATCCATAAATATAGCTGTCAGTCGTGGTGCATTAAGTTCACTTAGCGCGGACAATGTCATAAATTATTTATGATGATTTTCTTCACAGATGAATTATTGATTATCTAGTCTGCTATCTTAACAGTTTATTTACTCCATGGAAATGGATGGCTTCATGGGCGGATGTGTGAATGCGCTGGCCCCTTTTTACCTCCTGCTTCTGTATAATGTGTCTTTGTGTCAAAGGGGATTCAGGAAAGGAAGGCAGCGACCACTGGTACAAACCCTTGGTGTGGTTCTGGATCTTGTTGGGGCTTGCATACTTTGCATCTATCCTCACAATGATTGGTAACTGGCTCCGGGTTCTTTCAAAGAAGACCAGGGCTGAGGTACTCCTGTTCTTTTATGCCTGTTTTATCACCTGCTGTCTCCACTACTTCCTCTCCATCACCTCTGCTTTCATCCTTTTCCTTTCAGATGGAGGAGTTGCGAGCCCACGCCACTGACTGGACTCAGAACATCCAAAATATGTCGGTGGACTTTCGCATGCCAGGAAAAATCGATGACCCCTTTAAACGGCGTAGGAGAAAGCGCCGCCACGGCCCTCGAAGCCATGGTCACAGTGTATCAGCTAACGGGGTGCCTGAGGGGCAAGAAGAGCAGCGTGAGAGTCAGGAAGAGTCTGGGTCATATTCGTCTTCATCATCGTCCTCCTCTAATGAGTCAGGGTCTGGATCGGAGACGGATTCTCAGGCCACTCAGACGGAGCGAGTCCCAGAAGAAAAGCCTGCAAAACCCAAACAGGAGGAGGCTCCTCCTGACCCCCACCTGTCCCAGCCTCTGGACTACTTTGGTGAAAACCTTGCATTTATTGACGAGTCCTCGGATACTCAGAGCGGCAAACTACATTTGGATCCCCTGCTAAATCCAACAAAGCCCAATCCCCGTCAGCCAAAAAGGAGACGCCACAGAAGGCCAGTTCCTCAGAGGAACCACAAAAACAACAGCCCCAACAGCACTAACAAGAAGGAACCCAATAGAAACCCCAGATCCGTTCCAGATTTGCCACCCAAGCCTTGTGAATGATAGCAAATGTATTGAATCTCGTTTGACAGAGGAGTTTTAATTGTAGAATATATAGTGCCTGCATACAGACATTCAAGATAAAAACAAGATGTCGAAGCCTTAGCCACGTGTGGTTTTGCATTTAATGTTCTTAGCATGTGAGTGTTTATGCCTCCCTTAAAGGTGATGAAGAGATTTTCATGCCAGTGTTCCCTTTACTTGCTGAGGAGTTACTGCTCTCTAGTGGGCCAGGACTGAAGTGCAGTACGACTCTGTGAACAATCTTTATAGTAGTCACGATAAACTTTATACACCAGTGTGCTGAAGAGAGGCTTCTCTGATCTGTGACAGTAACTACTGAATCCCTCCAACAAATAAACAGGTACTTGAGATCCTCTTGTACATTTTTGGTATGTATTGAAATCTTTTTTAAATCCTGTAAACTGCATTATATTTAGATTTTCATGGCCAAATGCATTGAATTCTATTGCACTACATACATCTGCCTAATAAAGTTGTTTTTAATAAAACAAGAAATGAAATGAGCATTTTATTACCAATAGGCCAATATAGTAATTATGTTATTTTTAAAAAAAAATTCATTTTAACTGTGGGCCCACTATAATAAAACCCCAAATCTCTATAGTAGATAGTGACAAACAGAGGCTTTTCTGTCATTAGTTTGTTTATCTCTTACTTAATTCCTTTTTGTAGTAGGAATGGCAAGGAGGGGTGGAGTATTTACCAACAGGAAAAGGTGCAACACATGGAAATAAATTTAAAAGTTCAATTTTCTTTCTTCTTCACATTTTTCAAAGATTTCCAGCATCATCCCCCATCTCTCACACTTCTGTTCATTCCTGTTTCTGAATTTAAATCCATTGAGCTACTTTGACCGTTCTGTGTAGAATTTGTATGGGGGACATACATGTTAGGTTAACTGTTGATGCTGTGGGTGTGAATGCTTGTGTGTCTCCTCGTGTTAGCTCTATGATGAACTAGTGACCTGTCCAGGGTGTACCTTACCTTTTGCCCTATGACAGGTAGGCTCCAGCCCCCCTGCAAACCTAAACTGGATAAGCAGCTAAGAAACTGGATGAATGGGTTCATTTCAGTTCATTCTCCCTGGAAACGCAGGGAGTATGTAAACAGTTCAGTTTGTTTGTCTGGTTGTTTGCCTGTTTGTTAGCAGTCTAGTGTCCACAGTTTACCAGATATCATTTCCAATTTCTGTGTGATGGTAGATACAGGAAACAGCTCAAGGTGATTTCATTTTGGTGAAAATTCAGTCAATGTGAAATTCAGTAAAAGCTTTATAATACCCACGATTTTTACGGATGGTCTTCAACCTTCTTCACAATATACAAGGCCTTGTATGAGGGACACGAGTAACTAGGCTGGCTAAGCATTTGACCTTGACCTTCATGGTTGGCGCCCAAGGTCATAGTTGACCTTGAAATAAAGTAATTCAATAAACATATTAAGTAATATATCATATAAAAGGACATAGAGATTACTTTACAAAACACTTTTTATTTATTCATCATTCATCATTATTTATTTATGACATCACAATGACGCAAGAACGGGCTAATGTATATGTTTGGTAATCGAGGACCAATGGTTTAAAAAAAAACACTGGTAAAATGAAGATGCTTTTAAAAATCACTTTCTAATTTGAGGGGATGATTTGAGAATACTTTATTCTTCCTCAACTGAACAGATGCTTAGTTTAGAGTCAAGAATAATCACATTTGAAGTAAAAGTTTATATTTAGCGTGCAGCCATATTGGCAGAAAACATGGCATATAGCTACAAACAGCAATAAGAAGAAAAAGTATCACTCTAAGCACGATAAAGTAACTCGAGCATTGACTTTAATGCATTCTATAGGCCTGGTTAGGCTGGCGGAGACAAAAGCAGGCATACGCTGTCAGACTTGCATATCACACATAATGCAGTGTATAAATAGCATTATAGCATGGACCTTTGAGTTGTCAGTCTATCCTTTTAAGAATGTGCTGTGTAGCTGCTCATTTGACTCGTGTAAATGATAGTCTGTTTGAAATTCTAGCTTGTTTCAACCTGAAAATGGCACCAAGGACAAACACAGTGCAGCAGTACAGTGTGACTGCTGCTCTTTTGTTCTATGTATCCTTTTTTTTAAAGGAAAGCCGGTGTACCTTAATGTTACAAAATATCAGATACACAAAAGTTGAGACTGCCACTAATGTAGATACACACCCCTCCTCCTCCTCAGCTTGTTTCTCTCTAAACACGGCCAGCAGGTGGCGCAAACCTTCAATGTCAAAGATGCAACTGTACTTCACACATCTAATCTGTAACTGAAAACTGAAATTTATCCCTCTGTGTGCGCTTGTTTGTGACCACCTAGATGCCACACTTGCAGCCTGCAGTCATGTCTGCGTGGTGAGTAAGCAGAGCGCAGAAAACAACGGAGTGGTCGACCGGCCTCTGGAAATCTGACACTTTCCCCGCAGGATGTCTAAAAAGAAAAGGCACTGTTCTGGCATTGCAATCAGGAAGTCAGGAGACAGCGATGATGTGCAGTGGCAGTGGGTGACCTTTAACTGGAGGACACTTGCTCAGCTGCTATAACGTCATCAGCACCGCTGCTGCAGTTTCCCCGAGCTGCCACCAGGGGTCGAGTGGTGGCCACATGGGTGGGCTAAAGCACTACTGGCCTGGAATTAAAGAATAATTCCACTCTAAATTAAAATCGAAATAAATAAATATTTTATAGGATTGTAAATATGTAAGCTTTTCTGTATTCAGGTTTAAAAAAAAAGAAGAGACAGACTGCAGTGTAGTGTCAGTTAGAGACATATCCCCAAAGCTGCCCCATAACGAGGACACACTGAAGCTCTAGTCACGGTCCGATACAGGTCATTTCAAACAAAACTGACAGAGTTAGTCAGCACTCACATGACCATCCTGAACATATAATCTAATCAGCCTTCTCTGATCTCACCCCACATTTGCGCACATTGACCTTGCTATTCATAACCACTACAACATGGCATGTGCACAGCAGAGCAGCATAAAACATCTGTGAAGAGAATGTTCCCCCTGTGCTCTCTTGCATTTTTTGGTGATGGCTGAATCTGTATGACCAGCTTTTCTTTTCTTTTCTTTTTAAGTTTTAAGGTGGATCTAAGTGCACTAAATGAGTTCAGCCCCACTCTGGAATAAGCCTGCTACAGCCTGTAGTCTAATAATAAGCGTCTGTAGTATAGGTGGAGACTGTTTTCAGTCAGTCGTGCTGGCTATGACTCACTAATGCAGTGCCCAGTGCCTTTTGTGGATACAGAAAGAAAAAAAAGAGCTTCTTGTTAGAATTTATGTAGCCTATCAGCTGACACCTGTCTCAGGTCATGACCCCCTATGAGGAGCACCCGCAGGGACCCCATCTGGCATTCACTGTGTTTTTTTCTATTTCTTTTTTAGGTTTCTGATCCCCGCACATCCACACTCAATGCGCAGTCACGTGTTTAGACCTATATTATTACGCTAAACACAATCGTACAAACCGCTTTAAACAGATTTGTGCGCAAATCTAACGAACATAGCATGACGGGTTTCGCCTCCAACCGGATAATGCAGAGTCTGCAGCAGTGTGATGCAGTCCCGCAGAAGAATTGCAGTCTCTGCAGCACAGGCTGAATGACCTTGCTTCAAGGTCGCAGTGACACCGCCGTCAGTTTTCCCTGTGAGGCGCGCGCCACGAAAATCCTGCCCGCGAGCGCGCCGCATCTATGTAACCACAGCGAGCCTGCTGTCCCGCACCTCGGACACAGCGCTCACTGCTTCAGTTGAAACCAACGTATACTGGGCTATAATTAGAGCCGGATCACGCCGGGCAGCTTTGGGGTGGAGATATCTAAATAATAGGCTACTATGGTTACTCCGATTTCTTTGTCTTTCTTAATTTCCTCCCCCTCCTCTCCACTTTCACCACACCAGTAGAAAAGCTTTTCAACTCTTTCGTGACAACTCCTCTGCTTTCTTAATGCCAGCTGTTGCCAGGCGTGTTGGGGAGCGCAGGGGGCAGCAGACTATTTCTAGAAGCAGGAGGCTTCTAAGTTTGACAAAAGAAAATCGTTTGTTTTCTTTGCTGTATAATAAAATTGCCAAATAAAGTGAACCTTGGTAGAGCAGGCTTACACAAAAGCCCATACAGGATAACACAGGGGGCGAACTTTGTATTCCAAGCAAGTATTTTTCTTTTCTTTCCTTTTTTTAAAAAAATTCAGACTACTATCCTTTAATTATTTTACTTTCTCAACCCTTGGCACAGCTCTCCTCATCTCTTCTTCCTTGGCTCATGTCCAGATGCTGTGCAGCGGCGGAGTGAGACGGGTCAGCATCACAAGACCAAAAGCATGACTACATTTTCCACAGAGGTGTCCTGGAAAGGACATGCAGCCTCATTTTGTGCCCTATAGCTAATGTGATAATTATAATAATAAAGCATTTTGCAGAAAGCCATTTTCGTTATGGTGTTTTAAGCATAAAGGCTTTCTGAATATAGGCCACAAAACGTATAATAATACAAATGACCCGTGTTTTTAATCTCACAGCAAATATGAAAGCCGTGGGGTTTTTTTCTTTAGTGTGGAAGGGTTCACTGCTATAAAAAGCACTCAATAGTCTGAAATCAGCACTTTGAAGCAGCTCGTCTAAATGAATGAATACACCTTGACTGTACGCGAATTAACGTGGAGTGGGTCATATTTTTTTCACGAGTTGCAGGCCCTTATTAAAATGCGGATGACGCGGGTTGTAGGTGCGTGCAGACGTAACGGAGACCCAGTGGACGCAAATTGTGGCAGAGGGAGGAGAGCAGGCACGAGATCCAGGCTACGTCACTGAGTTCCGTCAAATGAGCGGAAGAAAGCCAGAGGTGTGCCGGAAGTCGAACTGTTAAAATAAAAGCAGCATTTAGAGTTCGTTTTAAGAATATCAGCGTCTCTATCTTTTTTAAAATGTGTTACGGATTTTACGGAAAGGAGGGAGACTTTTGTACTGGATTATTTTTTATTTTTGGTCATCTTCCCGCTTGGTAAATGTTTGAAAGGTTTAATATGTCGACGGAGTTTTGCTGTGAAATACTCTTACCGGATGTGGATGCTGTTTTTGTTGGAGACTTGACGCTAAGGTTCAGCTACAACCTCAGTTGTGGAAGGCGAAGACGGGAATTTTTTAACAGCAGTGGACGGAGCCGAACAGCCGGGCGAAGACATTGTGTCGCCGGTTGTTGTTATCTCCCTTTTTACATGCTAACATCGTGATGCGATGTGAGAAACGTCGCGAGGCTCTTACGGCGCCATTAATCCAGTTCAACTGCCAGTGGACTTGCAATCCGCAAAGACTTGACTGACCTCAAATATTTAAGAACAAAAACGACCCCGTGATGTTTTTACATTTCCTAGTAAGTATCTTGTCTTAGCCTACACTTCCGAGGTTGAGCACACATGGGGTGTTTTGCCCATTATTAGTGTTTTTTGGACGTGGCAGCTGTCTTGACGACAGCCTGATGTGCATGCACGATTTGCCCGAAAGAGCTCTAAGTTCGCCTGACCACGTTAATGGGGATATGGGACACGAGCCGGAAAATAGTTAATAGCCTACACTGTGGGATAATTTGCAGTGCACGCCATATTTCAAGCTTATAACACATGTATACCTTGGGACTAATTCATGCTTCAATAAATGCTAGAGGAGTCGTTGGTGGTTAGTACTCTAGTCACCAGTAAGCCACACTCGTTAATGTAGAAAATAAAGACCAACATGCAGATGATAAGTGTTTTCTTCTGTTTTTCTTTCTTGCATGCTGTTACTTAAACAGCAAGTTCTCATGTGCAGAATGCCCCTCCGGCACTTCTTCTTCAGTTGTTCACACTTTAACTTCTCTTCTGTGTATTTTAATCTCCCGAGTTATATTTCTCTCGGTTTTAACACACCGAACTATGTAAGTTGTCGAGCCTCCTGGGCCAGGATTGAGATCCCTGATCTTAAGGCATAATCCACTTCGGCAATTAACCTTTCACCGGTCCGAGATCAGTAAGGCAAGGTCACCCCTGGGTGCTGTTCTCCCTGTCTCCACAGTGCGCCGCATTTAAAACCCTTAAACTGAGTTTAGTGTCGCGTCTGTGAATGTGATGCCGTGTCACTGACGGAGACCTTGCCCCTGACAAAACCACGATAAGAAAGCTTTAAACCGTTGAAGACATAAGGAGCTTGTCGAGGTGTGATATTTGACTTTTTGCTTATGTAATAGAAAGTGTACTTGGAAATCCATTTATGACAAGGAGCTGTTTGGGTGCAACAGTCTACTGGGATTAGAGTCTGAAACTGAAACGACTTATAAAAATGAAATTGTCAGCTGTTTTAACCTCCAGACAAAATGGGAAAAGCATCTCAGTTTGTTTTCATATATAAGAGCCTTGCACACTTTTAAAGTTGCTTAAAATAGGTGTCCTTTTTTGGGATATGGCATTTTTTTAAACAGTCATATTTAGACTTTAACAACAAGCTGGAATACTATTCCATTTGGGGTTTTTGTGTTTGTTTTTAAGCCTAAGTAATTTAATTATTTACATAGCTTTATCACCAAACTTAAGTTTATAACTTTGTATGACTGAAAGACAAGGTGTTGGCTTTTCTCTGTCTGCCCTTCAAGCATTCCTGTGACTGTGACCTTTGGAGTGTGTCACGCAGTGTAAAGGGGGAGGGTATGAGCAGTGTGTGTAAAAATCTGGATAGATAGGCTGGGTTATGTATTTTTGGAAAGACAGTTGGTTTTAGGTGTATCCATACGCCTCATTAGAGAAGAAACAAAAACTGTTGGCAGAGCACATGCTTCCTCTGGATCATGTGAAGATTAGCTCCGCAGTTATTGTTAGGAGCCTGCCAATCATTTGCTGCGAGTTTGCATACATTATGGTCATTATGAGGCCGGACGCGGTGTCCTTGTGGGGATTTGACCATTCAAAGCACAAAGGGCAAACATGAAAAGCAAACTCTTTGGCTTGGCTGCAAGTTTTGGGAATACTCTCAGAAGCCTTTGCTTGCTTTGCAGGTGTCCCGGTAACTGCAGACTTCAGCCCACAGCAATATCATTTTACTGAGCTGTCTTCTGGAGTGAGACATACACAGGCTTCAAGCTCCAGGTCACCAAACAGGTAAGCTGTTCCTACGTCACCTTTTATGTTGATGAAATGTTACACCGTTATGCCGTGTTTCAATTGGGATTATGTGTTAACAAGTGCCTCTTTTTCCTCACAATTCAGTCATTATAAAGGTAGACTTTGTGGTAGACTTTCAGCTGACGCCTTTAGGACATGCACAGATATGAGCAAGTTTGTAGAAGGATTGAGGCTGAGTAAAAACAACAGAGAATAATGTTACAGTGCCACAACCTTATTTTTCATTACTTATATATGTTACCCGTATATTATGATGGTTTTGTTGCAATCATACACTTTCCAGGACATGTTCCTGTTTGAGAAAAGCAGGCTCATCAGCTAAACACAGATACTTCTCTTGGTCTGTTGTCGAAATTATATCATGAGGGCACAAACTTGAAACGACAGAAACAGAAAATATGGGTTAGGGAGGGGCAAGAGGCGGATAGATGACAGAAAGAAAGAACAATTAATGTATCAGCCTGTGGCTCTTCAGTGACACTTTAAATTTCTTTTTTGTTTTGGGGATACTGTGTGAGGGGAAACACATCTTCAGCAGTATACATTTGTGTGTAACACCAGGAGCTAAAAGTTTAGCTGTCTTCCCCTAGATTATTGTAACTATGTTGTTAGTTTAAGCAAGCTGAAACATTTGATCAAAAATAATATATATTACAGTTTAGAAGTTTAATTGCATCCTTCATTAACAATGCTAACTTATAATTCTGACAATGCCAATCAGATTTCCAGCTGGCAATGAAGCATCTTATATTTGATCAGTATAATTTGGGATCTTCCTTTACTCCATTCAAAAAATATAGTAAATATATGACGCTTAACTTTTAAAATGAGACATTTACAAACATGCTTTAGTCAGATGACAGTGTGAAAGTGTTACTATGTGCTTAGCCTGCGTCGCCTCCCAGCTGTTAGGGAAAGCCGATTGTAGGCCGGCCCATCTCCGCACATAGCCAGCACGAGCTAGCACGAGCTGGTGGTCTGGATACTGATTTTTCTGCTGGATCTGTGTCATGATAGCACACCGTGGGGAGACTTATCGTTCAGTGCTGCTCTAGTCACCGCTCAGGTAAGATGCAGCCTAGTCCGGGTTAGAGTGACCAAAATAAACCTCGGCCCTAGGGGGAGAGAGCTGGATAGTCAGGATTAACGTAGGCTAGCTAGCCTAGTTAGCTAACATACAGTTATCATTTATGTATTCGCTACTCTTGAAGCTAGCTCATGCTAACGTTACACCAAACACGCTGGAATTAGTTTACAGCAAACACCACGCGTTTCTATGGCTGATAAAGTAGATAACAGAGCTATTTAGCAGACCTCTTTAGGTTTTACGCGCTGCTTTAGTCGAATCAATGAGTAACCAGAGAGCTATCATCGCATGCTTGTTAACATTTTCTATGAAGAAACCGACATTTCCCAAAGAAGAAGTCGAATTGGCCAGCGGTGCACATGGTGACCTGATGATCTGACTCAAGTCCGAGCAAAGCCAAATGACACTGTTCAGTATCTGTGTTTATGTGCTACTACTGGTACTGTCTGGTTGAGCGATTAACTGAGCTTTCAGTGAGTCCAGGTAGGCTAAACTTTAAACAGGATACGTTTCTTTGACGTGTCCGAGGCTTGCCAAACAGCTCTCATATACAGAGAGGGCAAACTCCAAAGAAAATTGTATGCCAGCAACCATAGGATTGGGTTATCTGCTGCAGCAATAAGTATGATGAAGGCTTACTTGCTTGGGAAGTACCTACTGACACTGTTAGTAGGACTGACTAACTCTGACTGTTTTTCTCATAGTGTGCTTTCAGTCTGAGGCTCTCTGTTCTGTTCTCAGTGGTTCCCATCAGCAAAGACAGAAAGCTCTTTTTCTGATGGTCATGTCTTAGAAGTGCAGTTTGATGTTAAATATGTCTGAACAAGAGGCTGTTTATTATTGACATAGTAGTAATTAGTAGTAATTTTTTAAACTGACAGAGATAAACCACTCAAAGCTGACCAGCCCAGGACTGATGTTTATTGATTATATCACAAAAAGCCTCAGAATCTTCACTGTTTTTGTTGTCACAGTCACATGTTTTGTAATTATACGAGACTTGAGTGGATTATCAGCCCACCTGATAAACAAATAGAAAAATGTTGGATGATTGCAGTAGATTGCTACTATGTGTGCAAGAGAAACTGAGGACTTAACTGGATTGAGGCTATTTAGACTGCAGAAATCCTCCTCAACGTCCTCACGCAGTGATCTATTAACACAGTCATTCAAGTAAGGGTCTGCATTAATGCTTAAGAGGTGAAGCTAAGAGACAGTTCATGCTCACGTTACGGTTACTTTCTCAATTTCACAATTCAAATCAAGAAAACAAAGTTAGTTTCAGGTAGAATAATAAAACATGTCAAGAGTGTTTTGGTGGCAATTTATCAACTGTCTGTCTTTATAGTGATTAAATACAGGCGTGATCCGCTCTCTTCTGAATTGATGACCCTCGCTTGGGCTGGGCAAAGCGGTGGTCAGTTTGTGCATGCAAACACTCGCCCACCAGTTTGTTAAGTTACATAAAGACGAGAAACCTCAGATGCCCCATTGATATTATTACATTATATGTCAGAGATCAGACTGCTCTTAAGCTGATTGTCTTATTTTATATGGATGGTTGACATTAAGAACCCTGACATTTGGCTTTAAAACTAAGTTGAGCTTAAAAGCATTACACAGAATTACTCACAGAGATGCAGATTTTGGTATTAGAAGTGCATGTTCACTTGGGTAATTGAATCTCCTCTTTCATTTTTTATGTCAAACAACATCTTCTGCGTACTTCTCTCCTTCGCTGGAGTGCATTTCAAGGTGCAGTGCACAGTATGCCATCTCGACTGTGTACTGAGACTCATTAACTTTTTTATACGCTTGTATTGAGATTCATAAACGTCCCAAATATAACATGTTTACTATTTTTGCTAGCATAATTTAAGTTAGAACTACAGACTACTACTTTTGCTTACTTATTTGAATACAAGTTATGTGATTGAGTGACTTCTTTATAGCACAGTGGCCTCCATTCACTCACCTTAGACATCTTAATGACTTGAAATATGACAGAGGTGTAGTTCTATTAGGTGCGACGTGTTTTTGATAGCTTTCATTAATAGCTTTAGAAGGCAAGATTATGGCCAATATGATGATCATGATTATTTTGTTCAGCATTAAGGTCATGATTATTTGTCATAATTATTCATTAAGATTGTTGACAATATTTTTGTTGCACTTTCATGCATTTCATTTCACGTTTGTACAAATCTTTGCGTCAAAATAAAATTGGACCTACTTATTTATCTAAATTCAGTGTGTTTTTTAGAAGAAACATTTAAAAAAAAAAACTGTACTAAATGAACAGGCCACTGATTTCACTTTTGTGTTGCACCACATTCCTGTTTGTTAATGTTCACAAATCAATCTTTGATGACAAATAGTATGAAGTTTTTTACTTAATTCATTGCACCTGCATGATGGATGCAAATAAAACTCAAAGAACTAGATAAACCCTTTCTTTTTCCCCAGCAATGTTTCACATACTCGTCAGGTATTACTACTTCAAGAATCGCTCTTTTGTCCATTATGGTGACCGTTTTCCAGAAGTCTTGCTTACTCACAGTGTTTGGTGGACACACGCCTTTAGCCAAATGGAACGTGATTGCTTTGATGATTTCAGTGTGCGGATGGATTTGCTGAGGCTCGGTAAAGGCTCGCTTTTAAGGATGGCTGAGTTGATGTTGGAAAGTTCACTGCAGCAACCATTGCACTATTTATTCATTTATTTTTGGCCTTCATGTCTGTGCATACTGCAGTTTGTGGTTGAATAAGTTGTGTTGCTGAATATGATTTATTTTTGATTAACCTCTCTAAAGTAGGGAGTAATTCTAGTCCCTAGATGATTATCTGCTTTCTGCTGTGCCAGACATTTAAATATTTGTTGTGCATCAGCCATTTAATGAAGTGTTACACATCCAGACTAGTCCAGGAAACTTCGAGCTGCCAGGTGCAGCTGCAGTTGGCTCATGCAGTCACATGTTCAGGCATTGATTTGCGGAGTGCTTGAATTAATTAATTGTTTTAATTGGTGGAGGATGTATTTTAAATTGTGTGAGAAGCCAAATGGCATTTTCTTGTATGTATGTAGAGGACCAGCCACATATGTAGTATGTCAAAGGTTGAGGAAAGGAGAACTCATAAGCATTTGGAGGGACAGTTTATTTTATGTTTGCATCCTCAGACTCCAAATAGGAAGGTTCATACTTATGTTTCATCATCTGAGAGGGGGTCCCCTTGACCAAAGAAGTGAAAACACAAATGAAAGAGACAACACCACTGGCATCTGGGTAAAATATCCCCTTGCTTCTCATTCAAGCCTCATCTCCTGAGTTGAAGTCAGGGGTCTAATCTGTCAGCAGATGACCCTCCCGTCTCTGGATAGCTGACGACGAGCTGGCTAAACAACAACAACAACTGGTTAAAAGCTAACGCTGTGTCAGCTAATGTTAGGCTTGAGTGTCCTAAAGATTGCACTTTCTCTCTGATAAACAGCGTGAGTACATTCTCATGTCATGTATGAGTTCAGAAATATTTGATCCTCTTCAAAGAAACATTCACTTATGCCAGCTGACAGACAAACAAAAACAGCAGCGCGTACTGACAGAAAAGTTCAGGACATTCTTAACAGCGATACTCGGTGTTGCTTTTATTGGGCAGAAGTACATTTCACTGAATTACAGATTCCTAATAGACTCATTTTACAAAGTTTTAATCATTCAGAATAAATAGACACGGGCACATATTGACATCTGGGTAAACAACAAAGTGACACCCTGTACTCTCTACAGATGAACGGCGACAAGAGTGTTTGAGATGACTGGAGGGAAAAAATGTCAAATTCTAGAAAATATTTCATTGACACTTATCAGTTTTTCATTCCTGATTTCTTTCCAAGTGTCGATATTATTTAAATATATTCAAATTTAGTTTGTACAAAAATGTTTTTATGCAGCAACAGTAGAAGAAACGTGTTCCCAGATGCTCTGCGTTTCCCCATAATGGCTGCTGTTATGGGGTACAGTCTAAACGTAATGTGTTTTAATGTCTTTGTCCTACAGTGGCTAGGATTATGCAAAAGTCTGATTACAGCAATTGTAGACTGTGAGCTACAATCTGCTGTAAGATTTTACACACTGTACTTTTAAGCACATATACATATATAGCTCAGGTGGTAGAGCAGGTCTCCTACTAATCAGAAGGTTGGTGGTGTAGGTCAAACATCTTTGGGCAAGATGCATCCATCAGAGTGTAAATGTTGGATAGAAAGAGCATAGAAAAAAAACTGCTTGTGAGAATGGGTGAATTAGGCAAGTTGTGAAAAGTGCTTTGAGTGCTCAGAGTAGAAGAGTGCTATATATGAATCAGTCCATTTACCATTTAGTTTAGGGAAGGTTAGTTGAGGTTAATTTGATAGTAGATTAAAGCAGCATTTGCATCACCACAACTGGAAATTATTTTCCCTCTACTGCCTGTTTCCTTCTGATTACAGTGTTTATGCTCAAACCATCACAAATCCCACACAGTAGTGCAAACAGTTTGATGGTTTAAAAAGCTTTAAGAAGGACTAAAGACTGGGGTGGGAATATGGTAAAGTGTTGTAGCCCATGAAGGGGCACTACACTACTGAGATGTTTATTTACATCCTTTTTTTCTTTGCTTGATCATTTTATTACTTTTGTTTGTTATCATGAAAATCTGTGACTGATGATTTTCTCAGAGATATAGATGTGAGTTAAAAGTCTCTGTGCTATTATTTACTTTGACATTTCTTTTTCCTTTTGCCCTGCAGACATCATGTCTTCCCGTGAGCGTCGGTCAGATGTCTACATAAAGGCAGAACCAAGTAGTCCAGAGGGAGGCGGGGGAGGTCGGACCAGCCCTGGCGGGGCCTCCTCAGATTCTTCTCATAGCGGAGGCGGAGTGACCCGAGGAGACAACGTTAAACGTTACTCCCCGCCACTGTACACACCAGCTCTGCGTTGCCATTTCAAGGACGAGGGTGGCGATGGGGCAGAGGAGGGCTCCGCTGGAAATGGGGCAGGTCGATGCAAGTACGCCCTGAGCACGCTTCCCAAGAGGCTGTGTCTCGTTTGCGGGGATGTGGCCTCAGGTTACCATTATGGTGTTGCATCGTGTGAGGCCTGCAAGGCATTCTTCAAGAGAACCATTCAAGGTGTGTTGTGGTAAAGTTTGCTTTAGTGACAGGTAAAGCACTTTAAATGTGTTTTAAATGTTTTCACAGCAAAACATAGAGTATAAAACACGTATTTGTTTTCTAGAATACCGCTAAAACTTCTCATTGATTTTCCAAAAAAAATAGAAGCTATTTTGTCCCAAAAAACAAGAAATGTATGCAGTTTTGAAAATCTTTCATATTGTTGCTTGTTTCTGGGACCTTCATGAACTCCTGACATTATTTCTGTAACTTTCCAGAGAGTGTAACAGAATCACTGTCACACCTCTGTATGAGGATTGGTATAGTCGGAGTGTAGGACATAAAAAAAGAGGAATAGCAGAATGTGTGTGTGGTTGAAAGATAAGAGAGAGTATAGGCACTTGCTTCTTCGCGAATTTATTTGTACATTCGTTGAGATTAACATTTTCTGCTTCTTCATACAGGTAACATTGAATATAGCTGTCCAGCATCAAATGAGTGTGAAATCACTAAAAGGCGCAGAAAGGCTTGCCAGGCATGCCGCTTCACCAAGTGCCTGAAAGTAGGCATGCTTAAAGAGGGTGAGTGTGACCAGACTTTGATTATTATTCCAATATGTTCATTATTGTGCAGTTGCTTAGTTTATTGCTGACCTAAACGAGAACTGCTGATTCTTGCACAATGTAGGAGTTCGTCTGGACAGGGTCAGGGGTGGAAGGCAGAAGTACAAAAGACGCCCAGAAGTGGAGAATGCAACATACCAGAGTGCTCCTCTACCGCTGACAAAGGAGAGCGAAAAAAGTGAGCATTGATAAATTGTATTATGCTTTTTTGTGTGTGTCATGAAATAGCCTTCAAGGAGTTTCTGCAAATGTGGCACAAAAGTTCCCTTCGAGTCAAGGATGCACTGATTAGTAGTCGGTCATATGTCACCGTGGCAACATGAAACACTTTTTTGGCTATAACTCGTGAATTCTTACACGGATGGTGACTAAATTTCACAGAAATGTCTACTGCATATCACTAACAGGCAGAGCGCAGCCCGGGTCAGGAGTAAGTTACTCATGACAAGAAGTTGAAAGAAGATGAAAGATAGTGATGTAGAAAAAAGGGAGAAATACAGATGAATTTGGTTAATTTGGGAGATTTTTTTTCCCTTTGCACTGAGCTAACGTTAAAATGTGGATTTATGTGCTTAGAAATGAACATTTTTCTCCTTAAAAATGTAAAGTTTTAAAGGAAAGCTCCTCAGAAAATAAAAGCAACACACAAAACACTTCAAATAAACTGGAATTAGCTACAACACAGCTCCCCCTAGTGCCTGATGTGGTTCACTGTTAGTCTTCACTCTTTAAATCAGCAGGTCAGGAAAAGCTTTGGCTCTGTAATGATTTTAATTTAATGTAATTTGACCTGGATTGTTCAAGCTACATGAATCTGGCTGTGGTATAAACATAGAATAATGATCATAAGCAGCAGGCAAAGCTGGCAGATCCTAAGCCTATTTTTAAAATCCATATTTATATACTGTACATAGAGCGCTGCGTATAATACAGTGAAGAGTAATGGAGATCATCAAAATATAGCTGAATGCGTTTGTTTAGATAATGACAGTGCTGATGTTGTGGGTATCAACATGTCTGAATGTATACAGTAATTAATGCATCGTTTGTTGTGTGTTTTTGTGACAGATTCCTCCAACATCATCGTGTCCCACCTTCTAGTAGCAGAGCCAGAAAAGTTATTTGCCATGCCCGACCCTCTGCAGCCGGACACGGCCCAGCGTACGCTCACCACCCTTTGTGACCTGGCTGACCGTGAGCTGGTTGTGATCATCGGCTGGGCCAAACACATTCCTGGTAAGAGATGCAGAGAGAATAAAGGAGGGGAGGAGAGGCAGCAATAGCATGGCAACAGCGGAAGAGACTTCCAGGCTCGCTGAAGAGCATCAGTCACACCATGACTAGAATATTGATTGTTGTTGTTATGAATGGCCTGCATGAGCATGGCTCTAAAGGCTGAATAAATTTAAAGAAAATGTACAGTCAAAACAAATCAGTGTGCATTTAATGTCAAGAGACGAGGACCTTATTCTAAGAGCTCAGATGAAATTATTTATTCCCATATGAAGCTGGTTAAAATATCTAAACCATTATTTGGAACTTGGTACCAGTAAACCCATCATCCTCCATTTAAATGTGTCCCTTTCTTTGTGCTTTCTCCTGCAGGCTTCTTGTCTCTGTCTCTGGCAGACCAGATGTCCGTGCTGCAGTCAGTGTGGCTGGAGGTGCTCGTGCTGGGCGTAGCGTACCGCTCGCTCGGCTGTGAGGACGAGGTGGTGTTCGCAGAGGACTTTGTCCTTGACGAGGAGATGTCACGTGCAGCCGGACTGACAGAGCTTAATGCAGCTATTAGTCAGCTCGCTCGCCGATTCCGTGCCCTTAACGTGGACCGGGAGGAATTTGTCATGCTAAAAGCCATCGCACTCACCAACTCAGGTACTTTTACTGCAGCTGCAGACAAGCAGCTATGGGAACATATAAATCAGAATTCAGTATTTTGACACATCCTTTACTTCTCGCATCTTATGAAGCGTTTTGTTGTAGCTTGTAGTGGTAGGTGCACTGTAACACTGTATATTCCCAGTTTTAAAGACTAGTCTTCTGCTTTCTTGCAGGTATCCGCACTGTAGCTGAATAACTCACAAATGATCTCTCTGTAGTGTAAATATGATGCGATTTGTTTACCCATCTCATAACCTTTATGTAGTTGTCCCTCAGAGGTCCACCTACAATGAGTGCTAACTACAGGCCCTGCTTGTTGAATAAATAACAACTGACATTAGTTTGTTTGTAGTCAATTACCGGGCAAGGCAGCCTCTCTTTCTGTGACAAAAGCTGAGAACATTTCAGCACCCTCCACACTCCCTCACCATGTGCTCCCTGTTGTTCTGTCAGACTCTGTTTACATCGAGGACATGGAGGCCGTGCAGAAGCTGCGGGACCTCCTCCACCAGGCCCTGCTGGAGATGGAATGTCAGCGGCGCCCAGACGACCCCCAGCGGGCAGGACGTCTTCTTTTAACGTTGCCTCTCCTCCGACAGACTGCTGGCCGTGCTCTGACCACTTTCTACAGCATCAAGACCCGGGGTGGGGTGCCCATGCACAAACTATTCCTGGAGATGCTGGAAGCCATGATGGACTCCCCCTAGAGAGAAACGCAGGAGCAGGAGTAGAGCGGATTCAGAGAAAGCCCCAAACAGAGAGCTACTCTTCAAGAGTGGATGTGTGTTTTATGGAAAAGGACAGCTTTCATTTCAGAATTAATAATGAGGAAACGATCATTATCTCCTTTAGGCCACAGGAAGAAAGGAAAATAATGTGAAGTGGAAATTGGCCATTTACAGAATGACGTAACTGTCAGAGTTCAGTAAAAAGCTCTTCACGTGAGAACATTTAACACAAATGCCAGAATATTTCTTAGTTCTAACCGTTTCACGGCATGTTTCTTCACAGCATCAACCTGCAGTTACTTAACCACTGAAGAACAACATGTAGGTACCGAATAACAGACTGCAACCATGTGGCTTTTGAACTTAAAAATAGTACTACATCTGCTCATGAAAAGCCATAATAACATACCCGGCAAAATGCTTGAGAGTCCAACAAGGGGTCAGAATAAAGTGCACACTAAGTGCTTGTATTTACTATAGTTTAGTGTGCCGTTGTAGGCAAGTCATAGGAATTTCTTGCAATATGTTAAAAGCAATATAACGACTCGAATATTGTCTGTCACATTCAAAATGTGGATCAAATGGTGAGACATCTATTTGTATGCCTCGATTAGTAGTACTTCACTCTTGGGACCCCAAGCGCTGCTTTTTAGAAAAAAACAACAAAAAAATCGAGCTTCTAGTAGAAACCGGTTTGGTCAGGGAAGCCAAATGAGTACATTTAAAAAAAACAAAACAAAAAAAACATTTGAGAAAAAACTGCAGCACTTTGGGGATTAAATTGTGAAGCGGAAGCCGCTGGTGTGAGTGCAGCTGTCTTTTTACAAGTTTGTGCAATGGATTCACAGTCCAGGAGAAGTGTATATGAAGACTGTACGCACATAAAATGCTCAGCTTGGAAGTTAATTTATATGTAAAGTGTTGTATGTAAATCCTACTGGCACACACAAAAAAAGGCTTCCATCCAAGCAAGCATGTGTGTTTGTTCGTATGCAGTCGAAACCAATGAGCTACACTGAGATCAGGGACGAACACGGCTCTTGGACATTAAAGCTAGTGTGGCAACGAGCGATTAGAAAAGAAATGCCTCATCTGCTTTTTTTTTTTTTTTTTTAAAAATGTATACTGCCCTCTCTACTCCACTAGAATCACAGTTTTTGACTTCAGCAGGTGTGTTTTTGAAGAAAAAAAAGAAAAGGTCTGTCCTGTTTGATTTGTGGGCTGTGATGTGTAACACTAATTTGTATGATTGATACGTGTACGTTGAGACATTGCTGCATTTTTCTGCAGTGGTGAAGAATGTTGCATAGATCTCAGATGCTTTTATATGAGATCAGCTGATCTGTTGAACTTTTGCAAGTGCCCGATTATGGGCTTAGGGCAACAAGAAATGCAACATCTTCCCTTTTGGATGTGTGGAAGTCCTGCTTACTGTTCAGCAGGTTTGTATATTTACAGCATAAATGATCACTGTAGTAAGCTTTCCATGCGATGCAAAGCTACAGTGTCTGATAATAAAATCAGATCCCTAAAAATAATATTTAGTGGCCAAAAGGGCCATTAATCTTTTAGCCATGTACAATTCCACTGAAATAAACAGAAACATGCAATTTGTAGTGGACATTTTAACAAAAAAAAACTAACAAAAAACAAACAAAAAAAGCCAACAAATGTGAGAAAACCACCCATCCCCAATCATAATTTTATTTGTGCAGCTCACAGTGTACTGAAATTTGTAAAGACTTGAAACTTGCTTCTTTTTTTTTTTTTCTCTTTTTTTCATACAATTTCCTTTTTAGGATTTAAGGGTATTTTATTTACATTGTAAACACACTGTTGTGGGGTTGGATAAAGTGAATGCTGATTGTGTTTTTAATGTAAACAGGTGTGTGTCGTCTGAGGTTGGTTGTGATTTTAGGGATCAATTTACTTGGCTCTATAGGTCCGGTGGCATGGTGAGGCTACAGAAGGCTACCTCAGGAGGCAGAGTAAGCCAGATGGCCAAAAAAAACAAACTGTGGAGACAAATGTAACTCGTGATCTGTTGTCAGTTTTAAAAAGTGGGTAGTGGGCATACCGAATGTCCCGCAGTTCATTTGTTTCTGTTTTCTTTACGGAGTGTATGGCTCATAAATGCCTCGTGAGAGAAAGTGTGTGTGTGTGTGTGTGTGTGTCACAGTTGATGTGGTGGTAAAGCTAAAACAGTGCAACTGCTAATCCATGGGTGCTACATAAGCAACAGCTGGCACTGTGGAATGGGAAATCTGGCACAATGTGACACTGATGGATCTGTTTGGTCTTGTTTTCATAAGTTTGAGCTTATATACGTCTGTCTTTTTAAAAAGAAAAACTTGTGTTCTAGCCATGTTTCTCAAACCTTTTTAAAGATAGCAAAAACATAGATGCCGCTAAGTTTCTCCATATTAACGGGTCATATATGCAAAGGTAGATTTTTCTTTTCTTTTTTTCACTAGCATTTACTAGCAGGTACGGCGGGGGTTAGGGTGGAGGGCCATTTGCAGTGTCACTGTTGACGTCATACAGTCATTTGTGGGTCTACTTGCATACGTGCGCATTAATATAAATAAGCAATACAATAAATTTACCAAACCTCACACCTTTCCTTGTATAGCCACGGTGTACATATAAGCATTGCCAGTTATAATTAAGAATAGCTACTAAACGGTATATTATTTAGAAATTCAAATCAATGTTTGTATTTTGAAAGACTATTTAAATGATTAAATTCTATTTTTTACTCAATTTACTGTTGTTTGTTGACACTGCTTTCTTTTTTTTTTTTTTGTGTGATACTGGCTGTGAATTTCTGTGTGTAGGCTATTTTTTTTCCCCCATTTAGATCAAAGTTTGATGTCCGTGTCTAAACTTGTCCACATAAAAATCACTGTGAAAAAAAAGAGATCTTCCACTGTCTGACGCAAAAAGGGAGTGGATTATTGTAGGTGCTTTGTGTTGTGTAATAAATGGACACACCACCACCGCATACCATTGGTCTCATCTCTCCCTGTGGATGTGTATGCATGTGTATTCCGGGGGGAGGGGGGGGTGTTTTATGAGGGTACTGTGATGAAGACCACTGTTGAAGCTGTAAGTGTCGTCGTATTTTTGACCATATCACCTTTGGACATGCTCTTAACTGTTGATGAATTGGACCTTGCTTTGCCCCCAGGTTTTCTCTTTAGCACCAGGGGGGGTGAAGGCAACAGTGGTCCCAGTGGTAATTGGAGCACTTGGTGCAGTGACCCCCAAGTAGATCCCAGAAACAACATCCAAAGAGCGTCCAGAAGAGTTGTTGGAACAGCAAAGATCCTGCACAGGACTGTGGAGCTTGAGGTTCCTGTGCAACATCCCCCCCTTTGTTCCAGTAGCCTCCTGACATGGATCTTGCTAATCCAGGCAAAGTCAGAGTGGGTATGGCCACAGCTATTTGTATGTATAAATATATATTTCATTGTAGACACTTTTTTAAAGTAAATAGTGAGCAACAGGGACATATTTAATGGTTTATGCCGGTATTTATGGTGAGTTATGGTAATATGAAGTGCAAAATTCATGCCCCTCTCCTCTGTAATTTTTCCATTCTCCAACGCCACCTAGTGACTTGGATTGGAAGATTTTTTTGGCCTCCAGGTCGTATATTTGCCCCCTTCCTTTATAAAATATATAGCAGCTCCTGGTAATATGGGGCATAACGAAACAGAAATGTAAAATAAGTAAAAGAATAATTGTTAGTATTGTCTGCACATCTTTATAAAAGTCTCCCATAGCCAATCATCATATGATCAACTACCTTTGGTCATGTTGTTTACATGTATCATATAGCCTAACTGGCAAATTGTAAGCTAATCTTGTAGTGGCAGCGTAGGTGTGCCTTTACATTTAATTAATTACTACAAAGCAAAAAATTACCAAGAACCTGAACAGGCTGGCGACCAGATTAAAATTTGGAAAGGGCCAGATTTGGCCCCAGGACCATGAGTTTACACATGCTGCTGACTCACAATATAAAAGTCACTATATAAAAGTTGTTGTGGAAATGCTGGATCTCCTCTCAACATCACTACTCTGTCTGTAATTCCCAAATAGAGATTTCTCCCCGGTATTACAGCATTTAGTAATTAAAATCAAACTTATTTTAACAGAGGCCCCCAGTACCCAAATCAGCACGATGAAAATTAATAATAATGGTAGAAAGCATCTCTTTGAAAAATTTTTTAAGAGGAGAGCTGTTTTGTTTTAGTTTTATCCCAGTCTCATCTGCTAACATGGACAGGGTTTATGACTTATACTGCAGCCAGACCAAAGGGACCAATAGAGATATACTGTCACACATTTTAATTTTCAAACAGTGAATCAATACAGTTTGGCCCAGTGTTACAACAGAAGCTCACTCACATTTTTGAATAAATGTTTGTGGTTGATCCAAATAATGAAATAACAATTCAGTCTTTAATCATTTAGTATGGTTAACTACATTTAGCCCTGGTTAATTCCATTCGCACACACAAGGCTGTCTTTAAAGTCAAAAAAAAAAACACATAGAAGATGTTTTAACAGATGCCAAAATAGCAGGAGCAGCTTAATGGTGGGCTAAATGTACTGTAGCATATTTTATACACGCAGGCAAAATGTGATGTGAGTAATGAAGGCGTTTGTGTCCCTGAAGAGCCCTTTTAGAGCCTGCTTTTAATTTGTCACAGCAATGGAAACACAGGTGTATAACCAAGGGCTGTGATCGATTTGGGAGGGTTGGCTTCATACACTGTGTGACTACTTCGCTGCTGTGGCTCACTAACAGGCTTCATGGAACCAAACCATCATTTTTTCTGTGAAAAAGGCCTAATAGTATAAAAGTATGAATATTCGCTCTGTGTGATACTGCAAATTTGGATACTGACTCAATGCCAAGTAAATGCAGGGCCAGTATTGCCAATACCAATGCTGACACTTTCAACCCATAAAGCCAGCATATAAGGTATATTTTTGTCATTTACCCCCTCCAAAAAATTACTAACACAATTCAGTGGGAATTTAGGAGGATAGAAACAAAACATCCATCCGATACCCATACCGTCACTGGTATTGATACAATCAATATGTGAACCATCTGCCCACACATATATAACATTTTCCTGACTTTGGTGAAGTCTTCCCTTGCATTGTGCAAAGTTATTTTTCTTTATCGGAACTGCTATAGCTCCACGGGCTACTTTCAGTCACTAGCCCTAACTGTAGACATGTGGGTTTGCTAGCAGATGGCGCAGTAAATAAAGGCTTAGCGGGCCCAAATCTGGCAACTACGTACCTACAGCCAGACCTAATGTGGGACAGCAGTGCAGGTAACTGTACCCGAGGTAAGAGTGACAAGTGAGCTTTGGGCGTGTCCAAGCGGAAATTAAGGCAGCGCACACGGCACGATAAAAGCCCCACCAACCGCTTTCCTAATACCTTGCTAAATAGCTTGCTAAACAGCTACAATGCTCCCCGTGACATCCGCTGTACTCAGAAGTTCCCGTGTGCTCCAGAGCGCTAGACTACTGCACATTACGCCGACATCCAAAATGCCGATTCAGGTAAGGCTTGCGAGCGTTTCGCTGCCGGGTATGCTCTACATGCACGAGCCAAATGCGACTGTGTCAGTGCGTTTTACTATAACTTGCTAAATAAAGCGGTTACGTTGTTTATTTGTAGCTCACGATGCTAACTATCCGTGTGAATTCCGTCCCCGTGACAGCCGTTATCTTCATCATTATCGGTTGTTAATAACAGCGTCCTGTCGGTGCTTGTCTCCGCACCTTCCTCCCCCACCTGTTAAACTCGTTTTGAGCGTAGCTTGCGTGTAAATCAATCTCACCTTCTCTTTAGTCGACTAGGCTTGTTTATTTTATAGACGCACACTCATGGTACTTTTTAAGGCCCGTCAAAGCAGTATTCCGCTATTTTCTTTTGTTTGTTTGTTTGTGTGTTTTAAATACAGCCAAAATCACGGCCAGTATATGTGCACCCAAGTATAAGTATGTTGTATTTGGGTCACTTGCAGCTTTTCTGAATTCACTTCACGGCCATGCAAATCGTTGCAACATTGGGTTATTTAACCCATTTTTTTTTGTAGGATAACGTTAGTCAAGTGCATTGCAGTTCAGATTATTGTCTCTTGTTATGGGTGATACGGCTTTTTTATGGGCTCAAATTGTGGTCATAAATATTTTGTACTTGTAAATCAGTTTTGTACTTGTAAATCAGTTTTGTACTTGTAAATCAGTTTTGTACTTG